AAAAAAGGCATGCAAAAGAACAAAAGGCAGAAATTGAAGTTAAAATGACACCTCCCACACCTAAGAAAAGCTACATTCATTATGACTCAGAAGACGAGGATATGATTACATACGATGTAGATGAAAAATTAATGGAAGATCATGTACGGTCTGGTTATTTCCTGACACCTACTAGAAATCACAGAAATTAAAATTTACACGCTGGATTTGAATCGCGTTTTAGATCAAGATATAATGGTTAATATTTTAAACTATTTTCGATGTTTTTATTTCATACTTTTGCCATTTTAATGAAATGTAACAATTAAACACGAATTTTTAAAAAACTTTTTTAATGAATTTTTATGCTTAAATTTTTAACTGTTTTTTAAAAATTTTATGGAAATTAAAACAAATATTTGGCGCAGTATGGCCGAAATCGGGGCTCTGCGCCAATAAAACCAAAAATCAAATCAAATCAAAACCAAAATTTTACTAAAATCACAATTATAAGCGAAATGTTAGCAATATTTTTGAAAAACTTCAAAGCAATTAGAGGAAATAATAATAAACATATTAGTAAAAGTATTAATAAAACAAATTAGATGCAGTTATCAAGAAAATATACTAAATTTTTATTGTTTTATTAAAATTTAAAATTTTTAGAACTGATTGTGAGAAAGATATAAGAAATATGACATTATAAGAAATATGACATTCTTTTTGAGACCATTATTTAAATAACAAGCCATAACTCAAAAAGTATTCATAGAATAAGAAATATGTCACTATATTCTCTAGAAAGTAACATAAATATCACGTTCAAAAAGTTTTATAGAAATATATTTGTAACACATTTTGAATTATCAGACTCACCATGATAGATTTTGAGTAATTTACATACTCACTTCTTGTAGATCAAAGACCCACTTTCGGATTTTCTAACTTTATAAAATTGATTGTAGCTTGACCTCTAGATAGCGGAGAAACAAAACGAAGTATGTTTGGTAAAACCACACACACACAAAAGATAGTTCTATTCAATAAAATCTAAACAAAAATATATGTCTTGACCGAATTAGGTCATTTTCAACGCGTGTTTGAATACTTCAATACTTCTACTCTTAAAAGAAATAAAATAAAAATACCGTATTGTGCCTGAATTTTTTTTCGCGGGTTTAACAGAGTGTTAGAGTGTCAGGAAATTCTTCTTAATGTCATTTTGATTGCACTGAAGTGTGCAAGTGTAAGATAAGCGTAAATGCAAAAAATAAAACTTATTTTGTGTGTATTTCATCACTGATTTGATTTTAATGGAATACAATTACGTTTAAGAATGATATTTAAAACTCTTTTTGAGACACAATAGATTTTCTCTTATAAGGAGAGTGTCGTGTCTTGGGGGTCACGGATATAGCTTCCTTGTTGGAGAAGATATATGATTATAGGTTTAGATCCGAGAGCGTAACAATTTGAAATGCCTAGGGCACAGGGGAGGTTAAAAACGGCCCAGCTGGCAACAATGCTAGAACTAGATTTTTACGTGATGAAGGTCGTCCATGAGTAGGCTTAGACCAACAACCATACACAGTCATTACTGTACAGTCAGTCGAGATGATTTGCGCAATTGTAAGTCACACCAATTTATTTGTTTCGGATTACCGTTTGTTAGAGTATTCAACAACGTATACAATATGTCTGTAGGGTTGGATATGTGCAATGTCACCCACTCCCCCTGTTATTTAGAGAGGAGCAGTCCACACTGACGTCACACCCCTCCAGGAATGTTCGACAAAAGGACACACGGGAAATGATGCAGACGGACGTTAGGGACGCTGAGCTCTAGACGTAGGAGAAAGACGTTCTCCTTTGCTGTTTAATATATTTTAGATATTTCATCCTTCATCTTGTTAAATAAAGCATTTATCATCCTTAGGTTGTAGTCATTTTCCCATATGTCTACTTTTAAAAATCACAGGAAGGGCTTACTTTGTGTAGGGGTTCGGGACCTCAAGAATTCCTAAGATGTCCCTGTCTGTAATGTAAGGTAATTAATTGGCTGGCAAGATTGATATCCCTGTTCAGAGGCGGATTAATCCAGTTGGAGGCTCCTGGCAGTAAAAGGTTTGAGGCTCAAGAGTCGAAAGACTAAAATAGTGGAAAGATTCGCTGACCTCTTAAATTCTCAAAATAAAATGTATAGTTAATAATAAAACTCAACGGCTCAAAAAAATTATTTTAACTTTTGTTTTAAAAAATTAAAAAACTTACAATTGTGCTGTATAATTTTTTGTCTTGATTTCTCTTTGGCAAATTCATCGATTATTTTTGTAGTATCTATTTTGTCCTAAATATCTCTTGTTCTATATATAATATGGTCATGTTGTTTAGTTTATCGTCTCCCATAGTACTTCTTAAATAATATTTAACGCGCTTTAAAACTGAAAAAAGATTTCTCCCTTGATGCATTTGATACAGGAATTGGCGCACACAAGGGGAGTCCTCGGGTCCGGAACCCCCACCCCCAAAGCCCTTGATTTTTTTTCCCGATTGATTATAATCCTATGTATATAGTACGTAAAATTTAATTGAGCAATTGTTATTAATAATTAATGCTAATTACTTATTCAATAATTAATTTTGTACTATTTTTTTGTTCCCGAAAATCGACAAATTCAAAAGGAGCATGATACGAAAATGGTGGACTTTCGACCCTGGACTCCCCCTTGAAAAATTCCTGGGTGCGTTACTGGATACAGGTATTGTTCTAAATATTTCCAAAAGCGTATCTACATTAAGAAAAGTCGAGATCATTTATTTTGCAACTCGATAAATTTCTAGTGGTTTTTTTTTTTTAATTGTGTATATCTTTGTTTTCTTTTATAATATTAGATACTGATCCAATTCATATCGTCAAAATAAAAGATTCAATATCGTTTTTGTAAATGTCCTTTAGTTTGCGTGTGTGTGGTTTTCTTCTTAATTTCAGGTAATATATATCTCGTAAAAAAATATAGTCAAGTGTTCTATGACAGTTCCATAAATCTCAGCTTTTTGAGATAGTTCTGCTACTGCCCTATCTCATGTGACATAAAATGAATTCACCTGCTATTGTCCTATAGCATATAAAGCCCTCGTGTAGCTGAACAGTGCGACGTTAATATTCAATCAATCAATCAATCAAAGTCCTATAGCATATGGCACAAAATGAATTCCCTATGAAATTTTCCTTTCTTTTCAAAATTCATAGCAGACTTCTTTATTTTCACCACAAATAATTTTTTGTTTTTGTTTTTTGCTGTCTGTGAGCTTGTCCAGCTTCCTCTTCAAACAAAAGCCTTGATAAATCAGTTGATGCTTGTTCCATTTTTTCATATTCATTTCTGAAACATTGGATATAATTTTCTAGAGATTTTAATAGACTAGATCAGTGATTCCCAAAGTGGTCTATATAGACCCCCAGGGGTCTATGATGACCTCCAAGGGTTCCACAACAGTGACAAAATAATTTAGGGGTCCATGAGGTGTAAATGGGGTCTACAATAGTGGCTCTCATTAAACCAGATGTGACTAATTTTAAAAGAAAATGTAATCAAGTGGGGGGAAACCACACACAGATTTTACCTTTTTAATAGATTTATTTACTAAATTTAATGAGGCTAATTTTCAATTATATTTTATTAAAACAAGCATATATTTTATTAAAAAGAGAGCCATCGTTTCAGTTTCTCTTACCAGAATTTAGTTAAAGGAGTATAATATTGGACATCACGAATTTTCCAGTTTCTCATTTTATCACAGACAACCCTCCAGGAAGAAGACGCTTTAAACTACGGTCAACATTTAAATGACTTCTATTCAGATTTTGAAATTGGGTTTGAGAATGCTTTGACGACAGACACATGGTAATACTACAGGAGTCAATGAATCATACGGCCACATTGACGAAAATAAATGTTATATTTCAGGAGGAATTGATTGGTATAGGCACTAACGAAGATCTTAAAGTAAAGTTTAGAAACGGATGTCAGCAATTTTGGCATTAAAAAAGACATACCCGTTATTTATCCTGAATTATGGAACCGAAGAGATCTAGGGTAAAACTCGCCAAGATTGATGCTAAATGTGAAAATTTGTTATTGAAGGGCCAGATTCATCCCTCCCCTTAAAAGCATTTTTGTTTGTTGCTTAGTTGTTTTATGTAACTGTTACATTATGAATTATTATAAATTTTTTAATTTTTAAAATTAACATGTGTTTCTTAAATTTTAAACACTATATTTCACAAAAGTTAAATCTCTTAAAGTAAATATTTCTATACTAGCTGTCAAAAGTTTAAGTTGATAAAAGTACAAACATTTAACATTAGGTAAGAAGGGGTCTACCCAAAGCAAAAAAAAAAAAAAAAATGGCTAGGGGTCTACGAGACAAAAAGTTTGAGAACCTCTGGACTAGAATTTTTAATAATTCACATTCAACTGATTGCAATGATTTGCCAGTAGCATTTATTCTCTGGAGTATGGTATTCCAAATAACGGTCATCATTAGGGAGTTTGACCCCTTAAGCGGTCATTTTTTTTTACCCAAAGGCTTAAAAAAAAGGCACATTTCCTTATTGTTAGTAACTAAGCACTATACTAATTCTCGCCTTCCCCACACAAAAAGTACCGGATGCAAAGCACACACACACACATCTCATTACCATAGATAAACTACATCACCTTTTCAAAATACTAGCACTAAATAATGCACCATAAGAATGAAAAACAAGTAATATAAAAAAAATTAATGTCAATTCCTACTTAGGTCAACAAAGAAATTTTTTTTTTTATTTTATATAGTTACTTTTTATTAAATATAGTTACAATTATTATATAAATATGCATATACACACATATGACAGAATCACAATATTAAGTGGCAAAATAGGAGATGATTTTCCTTTCTATGTATGGTGTTGGACTATTACTTTTGTTTGTTACTATTTATTTATTCATAAATCATTTTCGCAGAAATTATGCCGTCTCATGTAGGATTCGAACCAACGACCTTTGGATTTTAAATCCAACGCGGTATCCATTGCGCTACAGGGACACAACGAGCGATGTTTCTTTTTATATATGGTGTTATACTATTATTTTTGTTACTATTTATTCATTAAATAAATTTAATTAATGAGTTAACATTTGAAAAAATTGTATTAACATCAAGTGTCATCCACTACAAGTTCAAAAAAAAAAATGTACAGTCGAACCTCTATATTACGAATTTTTCTATTTATCGAACTTTTTCCTGGAACCTTGAACATTTCACGATTTTCTTCGTAAAATAACCTCTCTATAGTGAAGTGCATTTTATATGTAACGAACTTTTTCTTTTGTGATTCAATTTTTGTTCTTCCTTTTTTTAAAGTATTTCTGAAAAAATTTCAAGTTATTCTCTCTTTAATACATTTTATGGTGGTCATAGATGTCTGTTCTAAAAACAATTTTGTGAAATGTTTCTCATTATGCTTTATTTGTTTGAATACTCATAAATCTAGACCAAATTATCAGTTAAAATACTCTCTGTGCTTCTCCAAGTATTGTAATACTAATTTATGTGAAAAACGCATAACAGATGTACGCGTTATTTACGACTTCATTAAATGAAATTGAAATTTATATATGCACACCAGTGGCGCACACAAGAGGGGGTCCTGGGGCCCGGATCCCCCCAAAGCCCTTGATTTTTTTCCCGATTGATTATAATTCTAAGTATATAATACGAAAAATTTAATTAAGTATTTGTTATTAATGATTAATTTTACTAATTAATGCTAATTATTTATTCAATAATTAGTTTTTTACTGTATTTTGTTCCCCCAAATCGACAAAATCAAAAGGAGCATGATACAAGAAGGGTGAGCTTTCGACCCGGGACCCCCTTGAAAATTAAATTCCTGTGCGCGCTACTGATGCACACACATGAGGGGGGGACTAAAGATGCCAAAAAGTTACTCGGTTGCTACTTTGGTAAAAAGTAAATCATGTCTTTTTTTCCTCCCTACAGCTAATGTAAAGGAAACTATAATAATAACAGTGATGAGTTTTTTTATCTTTCTAGCATTATATCCGATTCTCCATCTGACTTTCATTTTATCTGTTACTAATTAAGGTTTAAAAAGAAAACCCACTAAAGAAAAGTATATCTCTTGTCACGGGGATTACAGCACATCAAACAAAATGTTTTATGATTTGGTTATTGGATCTAAGATATCTAATGAGCGTATTAGAGTTTTGATTTTGAATGACGTCATATCTCCAATTGGAAAATCGCTTAAAAATTAGATTTTAAAACATTTCAAGTGAATTTTGAGAAAATCTATGTCAATGGCATCAGTCAGGCTTTGAGCCCCCTAGAAGCCTTGGGACCCCCCAAGGGTCTAGGGGTCCTCCCTTGGGGGTGTACGTTACGCCACTGGCTCAAGAGGTTAATATTTTGTTTCAAAAGGGAAATTGCTTCCGGTATTGATCTTTTTTCCTCTTTCGTATCACGGATTTCAGCCAGGACCTCCTTTATGTGCGTAGAACAGTGTTTCTCAAACTTTCAATACTTGCAAGCCAGTTTTCTATCATAATTTTCATCGCGCCCCCTCCATACAATAATACATATAACAGCAATGTTTTGAATTCAATAATAATGTACAGTACAGTCCCGCTAATCCGAACACGGCTAATCCGAACATCCGGTTAATCCGAACGGCTCCGCGGAAAAAAATTTATAATTTTAAGGACGAAAATCGATGAATATTTCAATATAAAACAGTATAAACCTTAATTTAAAACAGTTCTTTATTTAATATTCACGCACAGTACATCAAGTTATGGTACAAATTTTAAAATGGAATAAACTACAGAACAGAACCACTAATGTTTAGTATGAAAAATTGTACAACATAACCCGTACTCCCAGTTCAAATAGTGATTTCGCTGTTACTCCGGCTAATCCGAACAATCACGTAATCCGAACAGGGGTCGGTCCGATATTGTTCGGATTATCGGGACTGTACTGTATTTGAAGTAAAGCTACAATTCGTTTTTAATTACAAACCGTTCAAATTATCAGGATATTAAATTTTATATATGACAATCTTATAGAAGTCACTAGTAATTATTGATATCTTGTTCTTAATTATATCAAATACATTGAGCAGTACTGATGCATTTATAAGTATATTATATCAGTGTAAAAGTGAATTTTACTTTTATTATGTCAGAACGTATTTTGTGTTTTGCTTCCTTTAACTAAATTTGTAATTTTTTAAATCTTTTATTTTCGATATGCTCGCCCCCCTTGTGAGGTTATCACGCCCCCTATGGGGGCACTCCCCCACCGTTTGAGAAACGCTGGTGTAGAATCCAGTCTTATTGCTCGTACCGCATCTGCTCTTTCTGACCACCGTGTATCTGAAACTTTTTTCATCGATATTGCATGTTTACTTCTTTCCAAATTTTTATTTAAAATTTGCCAGCGATGGGATAAAAGAGAAAAAAAATTAGCAGTTTTTGTACAAGAATAAAATATTTAATCGCATTGCTACAAGTTTCTGCTGCAAAATTTCTTACTAAATTTAAAGAGTGACTGGCACAAGGAACAGAAACTGCGCTTGGGTGAGAGAGTGAATTAATATTAATGTCTCATTATTCAGCTACTCGAGGGCTTTTGGTGATGGACCTTGTAATATAAACTGTACCGCTCGGACATATTAAACGCAATATCAAATGATTACCCTCTGCAATTTTTAATATCAAATTTATAAATTTAGCTAAAAGTTTTCGTGGCCGGCAGAGTTGCCGTAATTGTTTTCCATTTTTGAAAACCAGCTATTAATTTAGATCAGGGGTGTCCAACACGCGGCCCGCCAGTAAGTAAGTTGCAGACACCACCGACTCTTTTTAAAAAATTTTAAGTATCAGGTTTTTATTCATTTTGATATTTATTTGAGGGAAAATTTATATATATATATATATATATATTTTATATATATAACTACAATGTATTTGCCTGTTACCTGTGCTTGTTTTAAAATAAATCCTTTTTGATAATAGAAATGTCCCTTAGATTAAAATAGATTTATATTTTATAAAACACAGTTACATTTTATTTTACTATAATAAATTACTTTTATAATAAATTCCCCGAATTGGATTATGCATACCCTTTACTCTATGGATGGAACATGATTCTCTCTGTGTGTGACTTTCATTTCTTCTCCTACTTTTCTGTTTGGAGTGCCCAAAAAGCAAGAGGTAGTATGTGTGGCAAGATTTTTTTTAAAGTTTAAAAAAAATTATTCAGGACGGTTAAGATAAAGGGCAATGTATACTTAATCGTTTGCGAATGACAGCACAATAAAATTTCAACAATGAGTAACGAAATATCAATTCAAAAGGAACACCGTAATTTTCAAAGAAAAAGGCAACAGTAATATGTTAAACCTTATTTGATCATTGCATTATTATATTATATAAACATTATTATATTATCGATGTCTGTATACTTGAAAAATAATGAAAACAATAATAACACTGGTCTACACAAGTCTTGTTTCCTTTATTTTTATTTCTGTTAGGTATTTCTATGGCCCTCATTATGAAAAATATACTAGGAGATTGCTAACAGCTTTACTTTTTGAAATATACAGTTTTATTATTTTGACAAAAAATACAGAAAATTAATACATTATGTTAACAAAATTTCTATTAAACACAATGAAATGATCTTTTATAAGATTTTCTTGAATGAACGACTTTAGGTCGATGTCGTTGCAAACTCCAGCAGTAGTCTCCCATCATATGTGAGTCCCACCGCCCCTGATAACGCTTTTCCATTGTCCGAAGATCCTGATGGAATCGTTCACCCTGCTCTTCACTGAAATCACCCAGATTTTGTGGAAATCGGTCTAAATGCGAGTGCAGGAATTGGACTTTTATGCTCATGTTGAACCTTAGCTCTTTCAAGTTCGATAGCATGGACTCAACAAGCTCCACGTGGTCGTCAGGTCTCTTTTTGCCTAGGAAATTACTCATCACCAAAACAAATTAATTCAAAGCTTTGGATTCGACTTCAGTCATTGATTTTGTAATGATCCCTAAGGACCTCACTTTGAGAACTAGAATAATTATGAGACGTAAATGAACTAGTAGCCATTTTTATAAATAACCTTCTTTATTTAGATATCTTTCCCAAATAGAATCAAAGACTTATTAACAACAACAAGGCGAATATTATGAGGTTTTAATTATAATAATCTTTAAATTAACTCAATTAATTAATAATCTAATTAATTAATTCATTAAATAACGATCACGCAGAAATTACCACGATAAGAGATCCCGGAATTATATTCAATAATGTTCTTAATGAACATTTAACTTTAATCTCACTCTTAAAACTTTAATGAGACTTTAAATACAATTTTATATTTACCACTCGGAATCTCAATTCTTCATGAGATAAATTTATCTTCTACTACAATATTTCAATTCAAAATCACTATAACTCTATGTTTCAATATCTATCTCCTACTGCTCTAACTTTTACTATTTCGTTCGACTTAAATACTGAATCTAATCTGCATAATAAGGAATCCTGTCCGCTTTTTGAGTTGATTGAAATAGGTAGGGAATTAAATTTCCAAAAAAGGTCGGTTCAGAAGGTTAGTGATAAAGTTCCGTATAGATTCGTCACAATTTGAAAATTAGAATCTTTCACGAGTTGCCTAATCTGTAGCCCATCGAAAATACCAGCTTTCAATGTTTCTATACTTAATCTTGGAAACTTGCGTGAAAGAACATTGAAACATTCGCCACTTTTATCAAGCGCCTTCACAAACTGTTTCATTATGCCGAGTTTAATATAAAGTGGTGGAAGTATGATGCGGTCTTGGCTAACTAAAGGAGTGTTTATCACATTTTTGGTACCAACTTTTAGCTCTTCCAGTACTGGCCAGACTTTTTGTGACCAATGGTGTGGTTTATCACGGCTGTCCCAGAGACACATGAAACAAGGGAACTTCGTGTATCCCCCTTGTTGACTCAAAAGAAAGTTAA